TTCTCATCACTACTTAGACATTGCATGACATTTTTTTAAGAGCAACATTACAGCCGACTCCACCACATAATTTTCTAAGCTAAAAAATATCATAAACGTTAACAAATTCATTAAATACTTCTAATTTTGAATCTAGTTATATCTAGATGGTATATATATATATATATATTTTTGAACTAAATACTATTTGTAATTTTATAAGATCAAGAAAATTATTAGTTTGTTTCGACTTTCTCATTCTTTCTCTACCCTTTACCCTTTCTTCTAAGCATCATGTAATGGAGGCCTTCTAACATGAAGTATCTGAGGTCATGGGTCATCCATGAGGCACCAAAATTACCAGTAATAGCAAGTTTTTTAATTTGTTTAAAATTGTAAAATAGTCTTTATATTATATGCGGAGGCACGGTAGAGGTAAGGTGGCGGCGAAGGCACAATAGCAGTGGAGGTGTCATCTCCTTCCACAGTGGTGGCATCGAAGGCGTGACCTCCTTCATGCGGTAGTAGCGGAGGCACGACCTCCTTCGTGTGGTGGCAACGCAGAGGTGTGGACTCCTTTGCGGAGTGGCAGCACGAAGGCGTGTGCTCCATCAAGCAGTGATAGCAGAAGCACAACTTCATTCGCGCGGTGGTAGCGGAGGCGCTACCTCCTTCTTTGCGTAGTGACAGCGAAGGCGCGAGCTCCTCCTCTTCGGCGTCACTGGCCTCATGTCCCTCCTCTGCTGCTACCTCCCCCCTCCCCGTTGTCTGGGGCGTTCAACTTTCCCAGAGCCTATTCTTTGCCTTCTCTACTGTCAACTACATCCGCTACGACTAAAACCTCGCCACCTCCAAATCCAACCCTCCTTGCCCCTGGCTCGCCCTCAATGGTCTTGTCTTCGCACTTGCCACCGTCGTTTTCCTCGTGCTCACAACCCGCTGGTGACCAAAACAGTAACCTTAAATAGGGACTAATATGCAAAATAGAAAAAAAAAATTCTAAGTTACAACTACAAAAAAAATATTAAATAATAGAAGTTATTTTACGGAGATTTTTAAAACTTCCTGTAGTTATTAAATTAGGTAAAAAAATTACAATTTTTTTTATTTAATTTACAGAGATTTAAAACCTCTTTTAACTAAATAATATTTTTCCGCTTAAATCCTATTTTTCTCTAAAATAAAATATTTCCTCCCTTAAACTACCCGCGCCACCCTCTTACAGAAAATCAGAATTCGTATAATCATGCTGCCATCCGTGTGAAGAAATAAAAATAGAAAATCCTAAACAAAATCCGCGCCTCCCTCTTACCCGCGCCTCCTGTAGTTTGACGTTTGAGTGACATCCGTGTGAAGAAGTGGATATAATCATGCTGCACTGCTGCCTTTCAAAAGGTAAATGAAAACCCCTTTCTCAGATGATTAAACGTGATGGATTTGAACCTCTAGTTTGATGCTGCAGCTTGGGGACGCCCTTGTAGTCGCCGTAGACGAGCGCGCACTCGAGGAGCTCGTCGCGGTGGACCATGGCGAGGAAGTCGTCCTTGAAGACGAAGAGGTAGTCGCGGCCGTGGAGCTCGGAGGGGCGGCGGGGACGCGTGGTGGCGGTGACGACGAAGTGTAGGCTGCGGCAGGACTCACGGAGGCGGGCGATGAGGGCATCGTTGCCGACGCCGCTGGGGCCGCGATGATGAGGTCTTTGCTTGATGGTGGGATGCGTGTTGAAGATCTACCATCCATACCTCGTTTTGGATCGTCTCCTCGTTTGAGCCAGCATAGGCTTCCATCAGATTCCCCTGAAGGATTGAGGGAACCTGATTGTGGCTATGGCGGTGCTGCTGGGTTGTGGCATTTCATATATCGCAACATTTATCTGGACCAATATATATCTTCAGAGTTCTCTTCACCTATTAACACTCCTAAGCAGTAGAAAAGGTAGTATTTTTTAGAAACTTACTTGGTTTTTATGTTGTTGTAGCTATTTTTACTTTTTATGCATTTTTGTTATTGTCAGCACTATAACCTGTCTCTATTGTTGCAGACTGTATAGGGCTTACCAGAAGCTTTTTGCATCCATGCATGACAAAGGAATTGGACCACACAAAACACAATTTAGAAGGGACGAAAACTACGGTAACAAATATTTTGATTCATGCTTTGTGGTCATGATACATCCAAGAGATAGATGTGATATTTTGAGTATGTTGTTATGACCTGAATTGCCTGATGCAATTATTTATTTTGAATTCTATGAACTGTGGTTTTCTTCTTATGGGAAAGAAGGGGAGGTGGTGATAAGTCCTTATTTTTGTGGTATTTGTTCTCTGTTTTAATCCTTGATGTTTCAAAAGAGTGAATCTATCGAAAATAAGACCCCTTATTTTATGTGAGATGCATTTAGAGATACATACCAATTAATAGACAAGCCAATCTATACATGTTTTGTTGTGCTGTGAAAAGTCAAATCTGCTAATGAAACTCATCCTCTTGATTGATCTACCTGTCCATAGAGTTTACATTGTTTGTTTTAGTTGCATTGGACTATAATTGCACGATTACATTTGGATGCTTCATTGAACACTGATCAGACTTGTAAGATAATTTTTGTGGCAGTTCTGCTCTGTTGGATAACGCAAGATTTTGAGCTTTATGCTGCATTTGATCCACTTGCAGACAAGGTATTGTTTTTGCTTGCTTAATACATTTCTCAAATCTCAATTATTTTTCTTGTACAAATATGTGAATGTCCTATAATTACTATATTTTTTTTATCACTAACCAACTGTATATTTATAATAAACATTCAATGAAAATCTGAATAAAATTCTTAAATTTGAAATCGAGCACAATGAAATCTGAATAACTTTGTCTAAGAATGAATTATAAATCTTTGAACTATATGTTGTGTTTTTGGTTATTAATGGAATTTCTTCATCCATTTTATGTGTATTTTTTTTTTCATTAAGTTTCTTATAAATATCAAAAGTGAAAATGGGAAATTATAATACATGTAGATTATACAATTAAAATGAGTATAAAAATTATTATACAGGAAAATAGGGAGGATTAGAAACTCCACAAAAATATATTGATTAATGATTGTAATAGTTAATTTACTTTAAAACCTCCACTAAATAATCTTTACTGTTCCACCTCAAAGCCTCCAGTAAAAAATTCTTGCAATTAGCATAGCTTTAAAACCTCCTTTAAAAAACCTCCACTATTAGTGTAGGTTTAAAACCTCCTTTAAAAAACCTCCACTATTAGTGTAGGTTTAAAACCTCCATTAACAAAATCGCCGCTAAACACTCACAATACCAGAGGTTTCTAAAAAACGCCGCTAATTGCTTGCGGCGAATGTAACTGCGGAGGTTTTTAGAAACCTCTGCGATTTATTTTGCGGAGGGTAAAAACCTCCACTAAACATAAAAATAACCTCCACTGTTTAGCTTATAAGAAATCTGAACCCTTGATTATTATATTATTAAATCTAACAGTTAAAAATAATATTTCATCTATGTACCACATTTTATACTATTTCATATTAGAATTTTCCTATATAATGATAATTAGAAAGTTAATTTGTTTTTTGTTTCTCTTTAGAGATGAAATAATAAAAATGTGTAGTTCTAAAACAAGAATAGTTTCTCATAGTCAATTTTTTCTATTTTTTTTTTAAAGATAAATTGTTAATTTTTAATTCTTTGTGCTAGATTAAAAAAAAATCACTTATTTTAGAATAGAAAGTTAAAAGTAATATGTATGTGTGTACCTAACGTCTAATATTTTATTTATCCCCCAAAAGGCTCAACAAATGTCCAATCATAATAAAGCATAGTCATCCGATGCCCAATTTGGGCTAAACTCCACGTAACCAAAAGTAAGAATTGAGTGTCCACAATCAAACTAGAATGGGCCACATGGTTGAAGCAATGGCCAGGGTAATTGAAATCCAAGGCCCAATCCAAATTCCATGTTTCTTCTTCTCATAACCCCAGCCACTGAAATACAAATCAGGAATGATAGTAGTTAAAGTAGCAGCAGGCCAGCAGCCATTGACAAAAAAAAAAAAAACACCAATGACACCATAATACTGACATACTCCTGTGTTATTTGTTGGTAAAATGTATTTATGTTAGAAAAAAAAATGACTAATACCTGTCAAAAATCGTAATTTATTTTTAATATAATTTATTTTATACTTAATATCAGAATTTTAACTAATATCACTTATACTTATCTCTTTAAATTGTGGTTTGAAGCTTAAAATACTGCAATTAGCACTTTCCTGATAGGAAATGTAAAAGCAATAGTGCCTTTCCAAACCCACATCCTAAATCACCCATCTCACCATCAATCTAAGTCCAATAATATTTACAATGAAAATTGCAAGGAATGCAATTTTTTTTTTAGACAATTCCGCTTCAGTTCATATTATTGTATTACCAAAATTCTTGTTGTGCAATTACAATTATGTATTCCTAGTGACTCTAATTACAAAGGGAGAAGAAAATAAGTTTTGCATATCCTTATACAATATGATTTGTTCAATAAAAAAAAAGGGGACAAAAGAGAAAAAAAAAAAGTTTTGATCGAGTTCAAGAAAATAGAAGAGGAAAAGGAAGGGAAGTTTTATTTTATTTTATTTTTATTTATCAAAGTTACATTAACAATCCCATATTCAAACTTAAAATTTTATATATATTACCTTAACTTTTTATCATTAGACCGACTCTAGTCATTATTTTATTTTATTTAATTTGTAAGGAGAAATATTAATAATATATTAATATATTTTTGTACAAAATGTTAGTTCAATTACGTCTTTATTTCTATAATATGATGTATGGATTATTTTGGTTCTTGTATTTTTAATTAATTAAATCAAGTGTTTATACTTTTCAAATTAATGATATTTGGTCTAACTATTAATGCTTCATCTAGCTATTCATGTTATACGAATTGGACTATGCAAATGCAATCCATGAGAGACATATCACTTCGACCCAAAACACACATGCTAGACCAAAAGTTTGTAAGTTCATAACAAGACCCAATTGGAAGGAGAGTTTATACATCTTAGGACAAGGAAGCATACTAAAGTTAATGCAAATTAATAGCGTATTACTTTCCAATAGGTAAAAACTCTCCCACAAAGATCTTGGTCTTGCACCAGCTACTTCAACCCATCCTAACAAAGAAATTATTAGCTATTTTTGAGTTACATAATTCTTAATAATAACTATATAATATATAATCAAATGTTATTAATTTCTTCACTCCTCAGCTGATCGTGTCCACCTTTTCACCATCTCTAGAAAAATCTCATTCCATGTGTCAATAGGCCCTGGCAAACACCAATGAACACAATCATTCTGCACACGTTCTGGCACCCCATCAGCAAATGGGAAAGGATTCATATAAGGACCAGGATGTCCATCAGGTCTCAACAATGCCAATTTGGTCACATCCAACACCTCCAATCTAAACCCTCCAAATTCACTAGCTTTTGCCTTTGCATTCTCCACTTCTTCTATCTCAATCTTCCTTATCTCACTATCCATTCCTCCAAGTTCCTTCTCTTCCTTCCTATAAGGCTCAGTCTTTGAACAAGTACCAGCCTTGTTCCAATCACCTTCGAAATGAGCAGGTGAAAATGTTTTCACAATCACATCAACAACATTGTTATTTCCCTTGTTACCCTTTTTTCTCTCAATTATGCTGCTAAGGGTAGTCCTCAAAGCCTTCCTTAAGGGAACATAAAAATCAACCTGAGTATGACTAAGATCAGGACAGTTTAAACTACCTATAACCAAACCACCCTCGTAGTAAACCGAAGGAAGCAAAAACCAATGCCCAAATGACACCACAACCATGTCAAACTTTTCCAAATCCATAGCCCATCTCTCATTCACATGATCCAAATGCATTGTGTTATAATATGGCCCTTCATTTGATCTTTCAACACCTTGCACAAGAAAAGGTGACCAATACAAAGAGAAATTTGCATTGTGTGAAGGGAAGTGCCATCTACGGAATTTGTTGTCCTTGCCACTTCGGTAGACAAGGTTTGGAGTTGAAACAGTGGACAACATGCAAAGAAGGGACTCCAATTGGTTCCTAGCCAAAGAGTCACCAACAAATGCCACGTGTTTGTTCTGAATGAGTTGGAGGAAAACAAGAGGTTCAAACCTTGGAAGATTGCACTCATTGGGTTTCCATCTCCAATAGAGATACCCCGAGTCAGGCCTTCCATTGGGGATGCATTTTTCACTCTCTTTGATGGTGCCACATGTAGTTGCATTGTACAAAGAGCCTTTTGTGTCAGGGACCCAATCACCATTAGAGTAGTCACATGGGTTCTCAGATGCTTTGTCCTTTTCTGCCATAACCAAAGAAGAAAGAAAATTAAAGTCTACTTAACCAACAATTCTTTAATGCCAACTTATAGTTACAATTACGAGGAAATTAAAATGATACTCCATCTGATTTCTTGAGACTGCCCATGATATCTTTAATTATTTAAAATACATTTTAGAGTACTCCAAAAACACATTACATTGTATACTATAAGGATAGTGTAAGGATAAAAGTTAAATGCAGTTCTTTACTTTAGATGATATAGGATTAGAGTTTAATCTCCATAATTTGTGTAAAGAATTATGTGGATTACTAATGTGAAATTCTAATTTTGATTAAGAAACTATCTATGTTTTCTCCTTAGTGTAAACATTTAAGAAGTAGAGAGTATTGGGTGCAATCTCAAAGAACCATAAGAATGTGTAATTTGCTAGAAAATTAAGACAAAACAAAACCCACTAACAATTCTATAGTTTAAGCAAGATGGAGTTAATTATGCATGCATATACCTGTAGAAAAAGAAGAGAAGGATGAAGGTGGAGGAGGGGTTGGAGGAGAAAGAGAAGGGTGGTAAGTGGTGGTGGTGGTGGTGGTGTTTGTGGAATGTGTAGTGATGGAGAGAAGGTAGAGGTATGTAGAAATCAAAGCAATGGGAAACAAAGCATAGAGTGTGGAGGGAACAATTCTCTTAGTGAGGGAAAAAGAGTTGTCTTTGAATGGGTTTGTGCTTCCCATTTTGCAAAAGTCTTTCCTTTCCTTCTTCACCTTATGACTGCTTTGTGGTGCTGTCGGCTGAGAAGAATGAAGAGAAGCAACTTCTTTTGCTGGTCATTGTAAGAATAAAGAAATGAAGAGAGATAGAGATAGACCCTGGTTTTGTTTATTGTTTACTCGTTATTTCAGTTAAAACAAAATAAAATATACGATTGGATCTTCTATTTTCCTCTGTTTGATAAATTCTGTTTTGGCTTTTTACTCATACATGTCTGCTATTCAATCATTGTCCCCGCCTGATTCAATGCAGATGACAGAGGATATGGTCACCATATGCAACGTTGTTGAATTATAAATAAATGAATACACTGTAAAAATATTGAAAAACTTGTTTTGTTGTTAACCATTTACATATTATTACTCCCCCATTTATTTATTATTTCCTCAGTCTCAATTAGTCAATTATCTTTTACATATGGATGAATTGGTATACAATTATTTTAATTTAATTAATAATTTTGAGGCCAAATGTCATGAACATATCTGTATTAAATACTTAATACTTAGAAAAAGATTTTATTTTTTATAATAATCTCGACTCTAACAAGATTATCTGTGAATATATGAAAGGAAAAAAAAATTAGATTAGTCAACAGTTTTTTTCTCTTTTCATTTTCTGTTGTCGGGGTGGTCCCTATTCTGCTTTTTAACCTTTTAAGACTTTAGTAAAAGTGGTTCATTCTCTATTTTGGAGGGGGCAAAGCCAAAAATACCGTGAATAAGTTTTTAAGTTCAAGAGGTTTACCAAGTGAAAATAAACATAGACACGTAGTTGATGAATATATGATAGGACAATTGTCATATGAGCATGGATCACGATTTCGTGTTTGAAAACAGCTCGTGTAGGACAAATTCTATTCTAAAGTCATTTGTTGGAATTCAAAAGAACTTTTTCTTCATTGTGTCTCTATCCATTTGAATTACTTAGTTTAGTGGATACGTGTATACCCTCAAAGTCATTCTTAAAATAAATAAAATCAAATAATTTAAATCACTTCCCAAACATCTATTCCCTATACATAAAAGGTTTTAAATTTTAATGATGATTTTCTTTCATTTTTATTATATTTTTAATACAAATAACATGCAAGCAACATCCATCCGTATAAGTAAAAGAAATATATCTAGATAACATGTTAATTGTTGTAACATATTTAATAATTAAAAATATATAAAATAAAAAAAAGTTCTGCTATAATTTCTTTCCTTTCAAAATTCTTAACCCCTTCTCTCCAAAACTTTCTCCAACAAAACCATATATAAATATAATTATATAAATATTTTTATAAAAATAAA